ATATATATATATATATATGCCTGTAGCAGCCATTCAGTCACTGAAATTATACATGGAAGTATCTTGTAAACTAAACTAGATTATCACTAAAATAAGAATTACTTTACCTGGACATGATTATCTGTCAGTCTGAAATATAAAACACGTCTGCGATCGCGGTATCACTGATAAAACTGCTGTAGCAGCTGCAGTTCTTCAAAAAATGTGGATCAAGATGAAGAAAAAACTAGCTTCGACCTCCATTGTTAGTTCTTGAAGCGTGAACATGGTTGCTAGGTGACCACACTTACGCCGAGTAAAAGCGGGAATGAAAGCTGAAGGCTAGACCGTCCAAATTCACAGCGACTTTCTTCCGGTCTTCCCGGTCTACTAAGGACCCGGCCCACCTCGACGGGGAAGGCTGGGTCCTTCGGAGGACCCGTCCTGCCGTTTTGGACACACCCATTGTCTAAAGTCCTAAAACATTCCAGCACTTTCATGACCTTGAACAGTTCCTTCAGTCCTTAACACTGTCTAAAGCAGTGATTCCCAACCAGGGGTACGTGAGCAAATTACAGGAGGTACATGGAATTACTTCCCAGGTGTGTAAAAAAAATTATGATTTCAGCAATGCGGAAATTTCTGTCAGGATCATGGGATTAACACAAAATGGAATCCAGTATAAAATGTGGAATCTCACGGAATCTGCTCATGTGGGTGAGTTTCTGATGTATTTTGGACGCTGCTGTTTTCTGCACCTGCCATTACCTGGTTTATTTATTTAATTACTTATTCACTTTCAAGGCAATCTTTTTATCTTTATGTTTAATTTGAGTTGAAAAAATAAAATGTATGAGAATTAAATGTTCTAGGGGTTAAATAAATAATTTCCATTTAATAATCAGTTGTAGTGCATTATAGTTTTGGAGAATCATCATTACATTTGACTGAAGGGGTACTAGTGGCACGACAAAATGGCTCAGGGCGTACACAAGTCTAAAAAGGTTGGGAACCACTGGATTAATGGATAGATGGATGGATAGGTGGATGATGGATGGATGGATGGATGGACATATTAAAAATACTTGATACTTCAGACTTACTGTATTTTAAAAAGACGTCTGATTTTGTGAAGACAAGGTCTGCAGCAGCCATCATCGTTATCTGTTCATTTAAACACACTTTAACTCCTTTACTCTATATCTCCCCATCTTCTCTTATTCTTACCAACAGGAAAAGGCCAGACCAGTCCCGGTGCGGTCCTCCTCAGAATATGGGCACCGTGTGGTTCCCTCCTTCAACCAAACAAACCAGTCCTACGCACGTGTGGCAACAATGAAAGCTGAGTTTTACATGAAAGATGGGATCATCTGGAGTTTGGAAGAAGGATACGGATCAGTGGTTCCTAGTTAAAAAGTCGACATGCCGCAGCAGGATTTGAAGGCTCTTCCTGTTGGAAGCTTTGCATAATAAACCAGCGTTACACTGCATTGTTTGTGTGAATTAAATATATTATTTCCTCTCCCAGCTGTAACACTGATACACCCAGTGATGAATAACAAGACGTATAATTATCTTCATGAATTAGTGTCCGGAGGAGATCCCTAAGGATGGAGACTGTGACATTTTCCTAAACTCTCCATTTTCTCATTTATCATCACTCATTGCTAGAATGTAATTTGAGCGTTTAGGTGAGTTAGACAATTGATGAATCATAAAATATCCAAGATTTTTTCATTTGAACAGTCTGAATGGCAGCGAGGATTAGATTATTTCTTTATTTTTTATACCGCCAGCATAATGTTTTGGGTGTCAGCAAAACTGTAAATCCTGGAGCGCTGAACAGTACTGCTGACACAAATGGCCGGTCAAAATACATTTATGTTAACTGATTTCTTTCCATAAAAAAGGGGGAAAAAGAGGTGGCTCAGATCAAACACGTTGTATTATAAGCAGCGTTTATAAAGAGGGAAATGTTTTAAAAGGTCATCGGTATTTTCTGCTGCTCTTACCAATTTTATAGCTCACTAAATCCTTAACTCACCAAACACACACACACACACACACACACACACACACACACACACNCACACACACACACACACACACACACACACACACACACACACACACACACACACACACACACACACACACACACACAACTGTGACTAACTCTATAACCTTGTTGAGTTTATAGGCACCTTTAGTTTGCTTCTGCTTGTTGTGCAACAGCAAAAATAGATGTGCTTATTCTTAGAAACAGTTCCGTTTTGTTTTCATCCGTGTGTGTTTAGTGTGAAAACTGCAGCATTGCTGTGTGACCTAATAAAAAATAACTGCGCTCTCCTGCAGACTGAGGGAAAAACCAGAGCAAAGTAAAAATGTTTAAATCCAGGGTGATGTTTTTCACTTTAAAAAGAATTTGTTTCACACATTAAACAGCACATTTCTCTTATTCATCAGATTTAAATGCATAAAGTAAAAATACTTGGTGCGAAAAATACACACATTCTGATAGCTTCATGAGACTCACAACCCCCTGCTGACTTGTGGTCTTGGAAAAATAATATTTTTTAGGACCTATTTTATGCAAGACTGTTGTTTTAGGTAATGATAAAGTTTATATCTGTCAGTATCTAGGTTTAATTATGTTTTCTCTCGATAATTCCTTTCTTTGTTTATGTGTTCTGTTATTCTGTTTTCAGTTTCTCTCATAGAGTTAAATATAACTGAGTGAGCCCCGCTTACTCACTGTTTTGTGACATCATGGAGGAGCAAAGATGGCGTCCAAACTGGGCAACAGCTCACAACATAAGAAACCATTTGATTAACAGCAAGTTCAACTGGATCTGTCTCAAATTATTTATCTTCTTACAATGAATTAATGTAGTTGATAAATATGTTAATTTCATTCAACATTTATGTAAAACATATAAGGAAAATATATAATGATGATTTAAATTTTAAATTTATTGAAGTCAGTCAATAACATTGCCTTTTAATCTAGTTGAAGAAATATGACTTCAACTTTTAATAAAGTATATTATTGTTTAGATGTTATGTTGTCAATGCTTAGAAAAAATTCACTGCTGATATTGGCAAACCAGCTTCTCAACAGGTCAGGTTTGTCTAATAAAAACCTAAAAATGTCAAATATATCATATTATTTTACTCTATGTAAATATTACATAAATCAAAGATAAAACCAGCTTGTAATATTTAATAATTTGTGTTCAATTGTAGCACGATTCAGTGCTACACTCTAGCAATATGCTACAGAAGCTATTATCTGCTAACCAGTTTAATTAACAGTGATTACATCAGCTTTTAAGCTTATATAAGCTTTTTAAGCTTTAATTTTAGACTGTTACATTTTCAGCTTCAGTTGTGGTCAGATCACATACACGTTGAGCTAAATTAGATAAAAACTGTTGAAATCGTTGAAATAAGAGGTTTTTGTTTCTCTTCTAAACAACACAAAAAGCTTTCTGACATTTTTATATACATTAAATTGTATATATACACTCTAATGTATTAATGATATTTTGTTTATTATTATCATTAATAGTTTTTACAAATTTTCCACAGTCAGCCCTTATTGTTGGCTCTTTTGCCAACATGTCCAGTGAAGCTAAGTCCAGACAAATCCTGTCTCTGCTCCGCCCACACCTCTCTGATCATCATGTCCCTCCCCAGGTGTTTCCCATTAACTGTTCGTTAATGTTAAAGGCCAAAATATTGTCATATGTTGTCTCTTTTTCCTTGTTGGAGCATTCTGCTTTGCGCTCCTGTTATGTTTGCTCCCCAGTGTTTTGGTTTTTGAGTTTCTCCCTTCTGTCACTATCATGTTTTTTCTGTACCTTTTGATGCAACGTCAGCCTTTGTTTTGGTTTTGCTTTGTGAAATAGCTCTTCCTTTTTGACCTTTTGAGTTCCTGAGTTTTTCATTCCAAACCCTGGGTTCAAAATGCTTCACCACACATGATATGATGAAGGAAGTTGAGGTCTAACCATCAAGAACAACTTTCACATTTGTTGTTTTTAACCAAAAATACTCAGTGGTTTTAGTGCTCATAATTTTATGGCTGGTTTAGATAAATCATGATGGACACTAAAGACAGACAGATTCAAAATGTGTTGTGGTCTTTTTGTGGCTATTATAATCTCAGCTACCATAAAAAGATTTTATTTTCTTTGTTTATTCAGTCATGATTCTGTAATTATTTCACTACTCAACACGTTTATGATTCCATAAAACTGACACCGAAAGAGAAGGTCAATTATATACAAATCTTTAATGCATAACAAAATACTGACAATGGACATTTACAGACATGCTGTTGGTTTGGCTCCAGATGAAATATATAAAAAACTGAAACATTCTTCTATTGATTGACTGATTCCACCTGTTCGTGTGGGATACAAACGCAGCTATAAAGCTATAAATACAATCACAGGCTTTTGGCGCACTACCCAGCACGCTGACGATTTGTTGGCATCGACAGCTCTATATGATAAAAAAACTATTGTAACATCAACTTGGAATGAAACCATTCCCAGTGCCGACCATGTGGAGATAAAAAAAAACAAAACAAAACAAAAATCAGCTCGACAGGCAGCTCAGTTTGCTCAAGTATAAGGCTGTGAAGCACTGCAACACCGGCATGGGTAATCACCTCCACATCACTACTATTTTACAGCTGGGTGACTGTGGTCCTTGAGAGCTGCACTAATTCAGCAAACCTCTCTTCAGTCAGGCACTCCTTTTTGACAGTGAAGCGACTCCTCAGAGGGAAGTCCTTGTTACACTCGAGCGGTGAAAGCCACCCGTGGAGTGCCGCGTTGAAGGGCTGTGGAGGCGCACCTGGACCACGTTCCCACAACGAGCCGCGAAGAACAAAAAAATAAATCAATTTAAAAAAAGTGGTTCTTGACAACTGTCCATCCATTGCACTGCTGGCTTCTAATAATGGGTTTTACTTACAGCATCATTCTGTCTCTCTTTTTTTTTTTTGAGCACAAGTGTTTTTAATGTCAGTTTGTTCAGTTTGTGTGGCGTTCAAGGCATCACGGTCCCCTGTGACAGAGATCTGGTCATCTCTGTGTGAACAAAGTAGGTCTTCAGGTCACCCTTGCCTTTTACGTTGATGATGCCACGACATGAACACATGTACCCGAGACTTGTTAAGATGCCACTCGTCTCCTCTGTTACCTGTGTTGTATGAAAGAAACGTTCGATTAAGTTTAAAGTTTAAGTTTTTATTTATTTATAAAGCACCCTTCATACTAAAAGCAGCTCAAGGTGCTGTACAAAATTATGCACAATAAACAAACCCATAAAAAAGAACAACAACAACAATAAAAAATTACATGATCAGGAAAGAGACAGTTCAAGGAATACATTTAAAAAGATGTGTCTTAAGCCTGCTCTTAAAAACAGCAACACTCTCTGCATCCCTCACATTCTCAGGCAGATCATTCCACAGACGAGGGCCATAGTACTGAAAAGAAGCCTCTCCGTATGTGTGTGTTCTGACTCTTGGAACTGTTAATAGTCCAGTGCCAGAGGATCTTAGGGGTTGTGGCAGTTCATAGGGTAGTTAAAGTTCAGCCAGATAAGATGGCGCAAGACGATTAAGACATTTAAAAACCAATAAAAGAACCTTAAAATCAATTCTAAGATGTACAGGGAGCCAGTGCAATGATTTTAAAACAGGTGTAATATGAGCCTGCTTTCTGGTCTTGGTTAGCACTCGAGCAGCGGAGTTTTGCAACAGCTGCAGAATAGACAGATTTTTCTTGGGAAGACCAGAAAGCAGTGCGTTACAATGAGATTAGCACATTTTAAGGCAGATTGAGAGGCACTGGTACTTAGCAGGACATCGTACCTGTATTTTCCCCAACACCCCAGTGGTCTCCATCCTACTGGCCACATTAACACTGTTTCCCCAGATATCATACTGAGGTTTCTGGGCTCCAATGACTCCTGCAATAACTGGCCCATGGTTTATGCCTGGCAGAAACAAAGCAAAAACATCTCAAACAAAGACACATCCAAATGTGACTCGTGTTTAGAATGTGTAGGAATATTCATACCAATACGGAGTTTGAAGTCATTAAAAGAGTGCTTGTTGATTACGTCTAGCTTCCCAACAAGAGCAAAGGCAAACTCCACCATTGTGCCTATGTGCATGTACTGTCTGTCATGTTCCTGAGGGAAGCACAGAGAGGAGAAAACAACTCAAAGAGCTGTGCATGAGGATCTGATCCGTTTGAAAACGGGGGATTTGATGTAAACAAGTAGCATGAGAACGAGATTGACAAAAAAAAAAACTTTCCATTCAGTTTACCAACTGAAAGTTTATATTAGAGAATAATAGAAGACTGAAAAGTCTAAAACACATAATATAAATAAACACAGAATAGTTAAAAATAAGTCTCCAAGTACACAGGCTTAAAGTAAAAGGCTTTTAACAACTAAAAAGTGGATTTTACGTTACATGTCTCCTTTAAAAGTTATTTGGCCAATTTCACTTCCTGTATGCTCCTGGGGTAAAAACGTATTTCAGTCTGTTTATCTGTGATTTGATTGACCTGTACCGTTTTTCAGAGGGAGGCAGATCAAACAGATGATGTTCAAGGTGAGATAGATCTTTCAGTATATTGTTTGCCCTGCTCAGGTATCAAGGTCACGATCCATATCTGATAGGTGAGAGGGATAATATAGAAGAATTGGTAAATTGGAAGCTTTACTTTTGGGCTTAGATTGATCTTTACCAAGACGGATAAGAGTAATGCGCTCATTGCAGCAGACGACGCCCAGAACCCCTGACTCCATCCTACCATCATTCATTAACAAGCCTCCAGAATACAGAGATTCCTCCACTTGAGGCAAAAGTCCCTTTCACAGGAGATGAGTTCTGGTCGTCTCGGTGGGACTTCTGACTGGACTGAGGCGGTGCTGATACTCCTCTGAGCCACAGAGGGAAGTACAGTAGTCTCAGAAGGGATTTAGTCAATGTGAAAAAATAAGCCAGTGACTCAGTCAATAACATGATCTGTAAGACCACCCTGACGTGAGATTAAACCCCAAAAACTGATTTATTAATGAGGGGAAATTGATCATTAGCACAGCAACTTTGTATTTACTTTAGAAAATAGTTAACCACAATGGAGTTTGCTACAACACAAAGGGAATGTCCATTACATTTAAAGCATGCTCCACATGTGGGATAAATCTTGTGCCAGCAGGAACTGAATTTGAATTGATCAGATTGAATCTGAATGTGCATAATTTGAAATTGAATGCATTGGTTTGAAAATGAATTTCACTAAATTGAAACTGAAGTGAATGATTTGAAACTTAATTTAATGTTTTTTGGTTTATTAAAAATTCTGTTTGACTACTTTCACTCTCAGTTCCATAATTCAATTTAAATTCCAAAATTCAGATTTTTGTGTCACATATCGTGGTCCTTGAGAAAGCCAGCCAGAGTAATTAAACACAGAGCCACAGATTTACGTTTCACTTTGGTGACGTTTCCCTTCTGTATGTAACAGAGTTGATGCAATCCACCGTAAAAGTGACAAAAACAGACATTTATTATATTGCAGTGATTAATTTTACCTATATGTATAAAATGTTACATTTACATTACATCATGCATCACAATATTGATCAGATGCTGCTGCTGACTGATCCATGATGTGATGTAAATGTAACATTTTATACATATAGGCAAAATTAATCACTGCAATAAAATAACTGTCTGTTTTTGTCACTTTTATGGTGGATTGCATCAACTCTGTTACATACAGAAGGGAAACTTCACCAAAGTGAAACGTAAATCGGTGGATCTGTGTTTGATTACTCTGGCTGGTTTTCTCAAGGACCAGGATGTGCGACACAAAAATCTGAATTATGGAACTGAAAGTGAAAGTAATCAAACTAAATTTTTAAAAGGGCAATATCATGTAAAATCAACTTTTTTTAGTTTTATATCATGTTATACTGTTATACTCTCGTAAAAAGCATGCCCAAAGCCTTGCTTTGACTCATTCATGCATGTTTGAGAAATCCTGCAACATTTTTAGGCAGCCATGCTGAGGAGCAAAACGACAGGTGGGGACCAGAAACGCCACTGTGATGTGTCTCCAAGCCAAGCTTCTGCATCATGGAGCACACCTCCCCACCCCCCCTCCCCCACACACTTTGATGCATTTTTCAAATTTCGCCTTGGGGCGGAGTTATCTTTTCACAGGGGGGTAAGNCTCCCCCACACACCCCGCCCATGACTCCTGCAAGCTCTCGGCAGTAACGAAGCAAGGGTGAAACTGAAAGTGAAACTGAAACTGTCTGCTGAGCTCCTAACACTGCTTCTCACCCAGTGAAGCTCTTTTCAGATTCAAAATACCTTTGAGGAAATGCATTTTCAGATGCCAAGTAAACTGCATCATAGCGCGTGTGCGACCCCCCCCCCCACCACCGCTGAAATGGGTGGGACAGAAGCGGAAGGTGGTTCTTAAAGAGACAGAGGCCAATTTCAAGGCATTTAGAAGAGGAAGGGATGAGAAGATAAGTATTTTCTATTTAAATATAAAAACAGCATTTTAATAACAGCTAAAGGTGACATAGATACTTTATTACGGTATAGTATTTAAATGTACGCCTGAGAAACACATAATATTGCCCCCTTAAACCAAAATACAGTTTCAAAGCAAATTCATTCAAATTCAAAACTTTAATTTCAGTTTCAAACCATTAAATTCAGTTTCAATTTAGTAAAATTAATTTTCAAACCAATGCATTCAATTTCAAATTATGAACATACAGATTTAATCTGATAAATTCAAATTCAATTCCTGCTGGCACAAGATTTATCCCATACTCCACATCTCGCCTCATTTTTGGAAGCTGTGACTTATGAACAGCCAGAGAAGCTTAATAGACAACACTGATCTGTGAGCCAAAAGCCTCACTCCCAACTTGGAGGGAGCATTCATGGCCTCACACTCAGAGGAGTTGACCCTGCTTCACACTTAACTGTGGCCTGGAGATGCCAACAGAACCACATCATCTGTAAAAAGCAGAGATAAGACCTCTAAAGTTCCCTAACCAGACTTCACAACTGCACTCCAAACAGGGCCAGAGACTAAGAACTTTTGTTAAACAAGGACCAGATAACCTTTAACAGTGACCTTGGTGCTGTCTAAAGAGTGCATATAAATTTAACAGCTACTGTGGAAACCTCCCCAAACGACTTTCAGATACATCAAATAAAACAACTTTTTCGAATTTCCATCAAAAATCTGCAGTTGTTAAAAAAATAAAGCTATTGTAAAAGGGGGAAAAATGCCCCTTCTTCGCTGTAAACCTGACTGCCTCTGGTAACATAAAATCTTGACAGGTGCAGCAGCAATCGTTTCTAAATGGGAGGTAAGAGCGCCCAATCAAACAAAACTTCCAGCAATCAAGCCGATCTCTTTACAAAGCACCACGCTGCGTCACGTTGGAACAAAGCTCTCGTTTTGTTCACACCGACTGCACATGTTCAGATTTGTAGCCATGAACCAATGGTGCATAGAAGATGTAGCTGATTTTATGGTGCTACACACAGGGCTTTTAAATGTGTGGAGAGCGGTTTATATGGCGATGCTTCGATACCCTGATGTGTGGCCACAGGCAATTGTACATAATTAGAGGGGAAAGTCCAGGGACTAGTAAATCGTACAAAAAAATAATTAAAAGGCAAAAATAAAACATAACCTCTGTTGTTGGTTAGAGCATAGCCAGTGTGTTGTCCGAATCACCGTTCTCTAACACAGATATGGCCTCACTTTTTGGATTGGCTTTATAAATGCATGAAACGTTAAAGAAATGTTACAATGTGTTAAGTGATTTAAAGATATATTTACAAACTAAATCACAGTTTACAGTCAGCTGTGTATGATGGCTGAATGAAGAGGATTCCTTTATACTTTTCTCCACATTTTAAAAAAGGTCTGTTTTCACATTTTTTGGTAGTGAAAAGCAGAGCCATAAGAAAAGTGATAACTTTCACAGTTTTTAGTGAAACCTGTTTTTTAATGTATTTATTTATTAATATTTTTTTGTTTGTTTTTTAAACAAACTTTGGCAACAAGCTACAAGCATGCAGCTGTGAAATAATGGTACATTCCAGTTGCACTTGAAAGTCAATTTTTGAATCTCAAGTCTGAAAAATCAACTGGAACACACCCCTGTGTTGGAATTTTGACGTAGTGTCAAAAACTCCTGACCAGCCCATACCCTGAAACCAACATGGCTGCTCCATGCATAAAAACTGATTATTTAAAATTGTGCTCTTACCAATAATGGTTTATCTTTGCTTTGCTGGTTTGTAACTGATTAAATCAGTTGTACATGTAGTACTTTATTAAATAAACATTGGAACTTATTGGGTTTCCTCTACCATTTTCCAAGAAGGGTGCCTACAAAAATCCACCCCCACAACCTCTTAGCCCTCAGTTTCTCAATCCTACCATCCCACCCACACATCCCTGCATCCCACAACATTCCTGCCAAGGCCAGTAATGTAGGGGAAACACTGATTTGACCTGTTACAAAGCACAACACTCTGCAAATCCTACAGTTTTTTTCCTGAGTGGAAGTGGGAACATAGTTAAGTTGTGTGTGACATCGTTTTCAAAGACCAGTTCTGACTTTTGATGTGAATTAAACACAACAGCGGGTAAAATAAGTATAGAACACGTCACCATTTTTCTCAGTAAATATATTACTAGAGGTGCTAATGACATGAAATTTTCACCAGATGTTGGTAACAACCCAAGTGATCCATACATACAAAGAAATCAAAKCATAAATGTCCAGAAATGAAGTTATTTGTAATAATGTGGAATGGCACAGGGAAAAAGTATTGAACACACTTACTGAAATTTATCTAATACTTTGTACAAAAGCCTTTGTTGTCAATGACAGCTTCCAGACGCCTCCTGCATGGAGAAACTAGTGGCATGCATTGCTCAGGTGTGATTTTGGCCCATTCTTCCACACAAACAGTCTTCAAATCTTGAAGGTTTCGTGGACCTCTTCTATGAACTCTGATCTTTAGTTCTTTCCATAGATTTTCTGTTGGATTCAGGTCAGGTGATTGGCTGGGCCATTCCAGCAGCTTTAGTTTCTTTCTCTGAAACCAACTGAGAGTTTCCTTGGCTTTGTGTTTGGGCTCATTGTCTTGCTGAAATGTCCAGCCACGTTTCTTCTTCATCATCCTGGTAGATGGAAGCAGATTTTTATCAAGAATGTCTCTGTACATTTTTCCACTCATCCTTCCTTCAATTATTTGAAGTTTGCCAGTACCATATGCTGAAAAACAGCCCCACACCATGATGTTCCCACCTCCAAACTTCACTGTTGGTATGGTGTTTTTGGGCTGATGTGCAGTGCCATTTGACCTCCAAACATGATGTGTATTCTGGCATCCAAACAGTTCAATGTTGGTCTCATCTGACCAGACTATATTCTCCCAGTATTTCACAGGCTTGTCTAAATGTTGTGCACCAAACTTTAAAGGAGCTTCAACATGCTGTTTCTTCAGCAGAGTCTTGAGTGGTGAGCGTGGCGGTTGAGTGCATCACTTATTGTTTTCTTTGAAACAATCGTACCTGCTAATTCCAGGTCTTTCTGAAGCTCTCCACAAGTGGTCCTTGGCTCTTGGACAACTCTTCTGATAATTCTTTTCACTCCTCTGTCAGAAATCTTGCGAGGAGCACCTGGTCGTGGTCGGTTTATGGTGAAATAATGTTCTTTCCACTTCTGAATTATGACCCCAACAGTGCTCACTGGAACCTTCAGAAGTTTAGACATTCTTCTGTAACCGATGCCATCATTATGCTTTGCAACAATAAGGTTGTGAAGGTCTTGAGAGAGCTCTTTACTTTTACCCATCATCAGATGGTTCTTGTGTGATACCTGGCCATCATTTGGGACTGAACCAACTGATATTAATTTGCACTGACAAGGGGCAGGCTTGCTTTCTAATTACTGAGAGAGTTCAGCTGGTGTCTTGGCTTTCCATGCCCTTTTACACCTCCCTTTCTTCATGTGTTCAATACTTTTTCCCTGTGCTATTCCACATTATTACAAGTAACTTCATTTCTGGACATTTATGGTTTGACCATGCTGGCTTTCAGCATTACAAAACAACCAAAAAATATTTCATGTTTTGAGTTAAATACATGTTCACTGTTACTACCTTTTTTTTGGTTTAGTCTTTCAACTTTTTGAACAATGATTTTTAAAAAATCAACAAATTTCAACCTTCTAACTGAAGATGAAGGTTAAAAAGATGGATTTTTGGTCTCATCTCAAATCCGAGTAAAACTACATCTAATTAAAGTTGTGAAAAACTTGCCTGCGTACTCTCAGGTCCTGGCGTCACATTAAGACCAGTCGCGGCCATGTAGGTGCTGCCAATGGTCTTTATCTTCTCCACGCCGCTGAACTTGGGCTTGGACAGCAGCTGTGAACAAAACACCCTATGAGCACCAGCAGCTCTCATTCACAAGCTGGAATATTTTTCTTCTTCTTTTTTCCCCTCTTTTTTAGTTTAATTACTTAGTGTCACTGCTTCTTTAAAAAAAAAGGAAGCAGCAATATTTGTTTTTGTTCTTTTTTATTCTCCTTGACAGCCAGGATTATCAATAAGAGAGGAGTTTACCTCATCAAAGTCTGCTATGATCTCATTGAGAAGTCGGAGGCACTCCAGTCCTTCCTTATTGACATCAGACTCTGTATAAAACTCTTTGAAGTCTGGGATGGAGGCGAACATCACGCACACGGTCTCGTACGACTGATGATAAAGGTCCTGATAACAGACGGGAAAAAAGATAAGACTGGATGAGAACGAGCAGCGGTGACATGGAGATGAAGAGAGATGGCCTGTGGTTTCAAGGAGCCTAAAAAAAAAATCTATGACCTAAATGCCTTGCACGGAACACTGACACTCACGCTTTAAATAAATAAGAAGACGCTTTAATCATCTCCGCAGGAACACTGGGTCACTGCAGCAGCCGGGGGGAAAAATAGCAGCATTCTTCTTGTGAAAAACAGAAGTGAAAACAGGGCAACTTGAGGTGAAACTTAGGAAGGAAAAGTGTCACCGAAAACTAGGGCTCACTTTTTACTGCACTGCTGCAAGGACGGTGGGCAAAGAACGCAAACTCCTCAAACTACTCTGCACAGAAAAAGATGATGGTCGCAACAGTAAAAGAAACAACAAAACTAAGCTAGAAATTTTAAACTTTCAACATCAATTGTCTCCCCAAAACCAAAAAAGACCATTCAGGACTCACATTTGTGATCATCTAAGATGAAGTTTTGATGTATAAATTATATTCGAAAGGCAAAAAGATTCAAGATCAAAAGAAATGTTTAAGATTCAAACAAACAGCATCAAGTGACACGTTACTGTAAAAAAGATTGTTCACTTCTGGATTTATGGAGAAATTTCTGAGTTTGGATGTGTTTAGGGAGATTTCAAGGAAAACCAGAATCGTTATTTAAGTGAGACACATTAGCGTAAGAAGTAAAAATGCTTAAACTTTGATGTATAAACTATGCAGACTGGGACTAATTTAGCTGCTTTTGCAAAAAATTTGGAAACTTCAATTAGGTTTTAATAAACCCAAGAGTTTCAATCTGAGGTCCACCTCCCTAAAAATTGGTAGAGGTATTGTTTGGACTGAAACGGGCCAAATAGTCAAAAATCTGAGCCCAAGTTGGATCTGCTCATATGAATATCTAAACTTAGTATAAAAAGTAAAGAAATTTGTGTTTGGTAGATTATTTCTGTGTTGTAACAATGCTTCTTGGCAATAAATAATATACTGTTGGAAAGCCCGTTAGTATCCCTTTTAAATATGCCACATGTGTCTCCACACATGCCTCCATGCATGTGTGGGATGAGCAGTAGAGCCGAGTATGTGGGACGCACAAATTACCAAACAGCTTATTTTGCTGTTGCTACTGACACTTGGTTTGAGCTTCTGGCACCACCGGACGTTTGAAACTTGAATAAAGCTAAAACATTTAGTTAATGAAACAAAAAGGCTGACGATGCAGCAAAACAAACTTACAAATCTATTCGAGGGGAACATGGAGGAGAGATGGAGGAGAACCAGACATGGCATGAAGAATGCACAATGATCCACAGCTGAGGAATGGAGAGAGAGGGAATAAATGGACTGGGCCAAATGAGATGAGAGACAGTTGGGCTTAATGAAATGGGGAACAGGTGTAAGTGGGCAGGGTAGGATCACTGAGGTAAAGTACCAGGAAGAGTAAACTGATTGTACAGGGAAACAGTGAGACGGAACAAAAAGTCAGAAAGTAAACAAAATACTCAAAAAAGAAATAAATCCAATAACAAACACCAAAAGATTGGCAAAAGTAAACTCAAATATATAAAAACTAACAATTGTTGTGTTATGTAAAAAAATAGAATTTTTTCAAAGAACTGTGGGAAGTTATGTTGACTTTATTGTGATATGCACAACTTAGAAGGAGGAACGAAAATGAAAGACGGACAAAATTAATGGATGTGGTAAAAATCAACATGCTTAGATTTATTCATACGAATCAAAACAAACTAGTTATTACAAACAGTGTGTACAAATCTGCCTCAGAAAGTCTAATAACCTCTTCTGTAATTGTTTCAACACAGTTGTATTAATCTTTAAAGTGGCTGTGACATAATTTTTTGTAATCAATATTAAAGCGTGTTTGGAAAGATAACACTGATAAAATATATGTAAAAACAATAACGCTGCTGAGATGAACAGATGTTGAGATATTCACATGTGAAGTAACAGGAAATGATGTCAAAGGGGAATGTCTGAACGTAAACAGTATTGCTATAATGTTGCTACATAGACTGTAGAGAAGAATCTGATGTTTCTTTAGTTTATTTTGAGTCTATCAGAGAGGTGAAGAAGTTAGAGTTCAAATAATGTTTCAATAAACATAGACAGAGGTGTTTCCTTTCTTTAACAGTTCCCCTTTGATGTCACTTCCTTTTTCATTTTGACTGAGCCAAGTATAAAATAAAATATGCCAGTTATGTAATAAAATGGATAAAATCATGTTTATTATGTCAAGTTTCTTAAATATAAAGATGTTTTCTTTGACTTTTTGTTTTTGAAGGATAAGTATGTCACAGGCACTTGTTTTTAGCGCCATCTTGTCCTTTGTGATTTTAAATAATTTTGTCTCACTCACCTCATTTTTCCAGTTGCGTCCCAGGAAGTGCTCTGCGACGTGAGCTGGCAAGACATTCTCCAGCAGAACACGGTTTAGGTTCTCCATGGTTTCGATCTCCTCGCACTCCCTCTTGAACTTGTCCCTCCACAGGAAGTCCAGCCTACAGTAATATTCATTCTGTAACAGCAGGACAAAGAGACTATGAGTCATTTTCTCAGCAAGAAAACAAGAATGACCTTAAATGCAGACCAGACCTTTTACTGTAAACACGCAAATTTTAGGAATTTGCTTCTCTGACACAAGCTGCTCATATATATAT